GCATGGTGGCTGATGCCTGTAATTCCAGAATTTGGGAGGCTGAAGTAGGCAGGCCAGATCATCATGAATTCAAGGTCAGCCTAGGATGGATAAGTGGATGAATGGGATGGGTGGATGAATGGATAGATGGATGAATAGATAGGTAGGTCGATGATTGATGATCGATAAACAGATGATAGATGATAGATAGATAGATAGATAGATAGATAGATAGATAGATAGATAGATGATAGAGAGATAATCTGTTAAAGCAAATGACTTAAAATTGCCTATCCTACATCCTCTGGAGTGACACTGGTGTCCTATCTGGGTGGTTGTTAGCCACCATGCAAGTGCTGAAAACCAAACCTGGGTCTTCTGCAAGAGCAGTCAGTGCTTTTAACCCCTGAGCCATCTCTCCAGCCCCATATACAGAATGCTTAGGTTGTGATAGGCACTGATGACTGTCAGTCACTTTGAAAAGCATCTCAACTATGACACTGCTAATAGAGAGGATGATTAAGTAATCAATTCTTGTTATATACAGTAGTTCTAGAAAATCTGCAAACATGAAATTAGTGAATTTGAACAGTTGCTCCTAGAGAAATATAGGCTTAGACTCTCTGATCACAACATTTTCATCAAGTGATCAATATGTAATCATTTGGTAGGGGCTTAAGATGGAGTCTCATGTAGCCCAGGTTGGCCTTGAAGTCACGATGTAGTCGAGGCTGTGTTTGAATTCTTGATCCTCCTTCCACCTCCCAAGTACTGGGATTACAAGCATGTGCTACCATATGGCTAAAAAGCAGGGTCCAGGCTGGCTTTGAACTCTTGATCCTCCCGCCTCATCTTCTTCAGCATTTGCCTACCAGTGGGTGCCCACCATGCCAGCTGTAACCATTTGTGTGTATGTGTCTCAGTTTCATAATGCCTTATTTAATAGACATTGTTGAACTGGAGATGTGGTTCTGTGCCATCCCATTGACCATGGAAAAGGCACCATGAGAGCTGAAACAAGAAGGCAGAGCCCCATGTTGCTTGTGCTCAGTGGGCACGTGGTCATCAGTGACTCGATTTTTTGCCATTCTGTGAATGTCTGGAAATCATGGGAAAACACCATACTGTTTTGAGGATCAAAAATAAAGTCTAGCAATCATGTAAATTCACAAATAAGGAATCTGTGAATAATGAGGGTAAATTTTTGTGATGAATGGAGCAAACCATCAATTGTAGAATACAGGGGTAGATAGTGGGGAGATGATTCATTCTTTCCATTCTCTGTATTCTTGTAACTTTTTATGTGATGTAAAAAAAAAGTGATCTTACCATAACAATCACTTGTTATCTGCTAAGGGGGACCCAGCATGGCCACCTTGGCATAAGCTGTGATAAGGATGGGGGTCCTCAGGTGCCCTACTTATACTAATGAAGACAGAGAGTCTAAGCACAGTTTTGGTGAACAGAAGAAGGCGGTACCTGCCCTGGTACCCAGGAATGGGCAAGAATGGGGCTTAAGAAAACACTGGAATGAGATCATCCGAGGCCTGGACAGTTGGGGACTCCTAACCACATGGTTCACTGTGGTGGGAAGCTGGACTTGAAAGACCCCTGGGTGCCCCAACAGTTAGTGCCAAGCAATTATCAGAGCCCTCATGGAACTTCTCTCACCTGGAGAATGGAGGACTGGGCTCCAGGCTAGCCCTGGCTACAGAGTCAAGGCTGGGGGTGGGGAGAAGAGGAAGAGGAAGAGGAAGAGGAAGAGGAAGAAGAAGAAGAAGAAGAAGAAGAAGAAGAAGAAGAAGAAGAAGAAGAAGAAAAGGAGGAAGAAGGAGCAAAAGAGAAGGAGGAGGAGGAGAGGAGGGAGGGAGGGAAGGGAGAAAGGGCCTTTTTTAAAAGCGGTTTGGGGTTGTTTTTACATTTATTTATTTTCATTTTATGTGTATAAGTGTTATGCCTGCATGTATGTAAGTGCACCCATGTCATGCAGTGCCCGTGGAGGACAGAAGAGGGCATCAGATTCCTTGGAACTGGAGTTACAGACGGTTAGCTGCAATGTAGGTGGTGGGATTCAAACCCAGGCCTTCTGCAAGAACAGTCAGTGCTCTTAACTGTTGAGCTATCTCTCCAGCCCCCCCAAAAGAACAGTTTTAAAGGGTATTCCATAAGAATATGTAAAACAAGCCATAGGGCTCTTGGAAAAAATGGAAATTTACATGCACAGGAAAACCTCCACAGATACATTTATACAAGTTTTATTCACAATTGCCAAAAACTGAGAGTGCTGTGAATGTTCCTCAGCTGGTGACGAGGTTCTGACTGGTGCCTGATGGAGCAGACTACTGCAGCATGCCGAGAGCAAAGCCCAAGGCGACAGCTACAAAATGGGTCCCACTCCGAACCACAAGGTGGAGACTGTGTCAGTGGTGGCAGGTGGGATGGCTACAGGGGGCCCAAGGGAATTGGAGATTAATCCACAGTTTGATGGAAACAGCAGTTCCTCCACTGCACATATTTGTCAAATCAGAACTTTTCAATTGGATAGCATACAGATTTTACTGTAAGCAAACTGTGCTTCCATTTTTAAAACTAAGGGTTGGAAAAGGAGCTGAGAATTTTAGGTGGGACCCACACTGCAACAGTAACTAAAGCAGGAAACATAAGGGCAGCAGCAGCTGCACTGAGTCTCATCCCACCTCTC